TGTCGCCCCCTAGAAAGGAAAGGCCCCATGTCCTACTCCCCACCCCCATCAGCCTACCAATCCCCTGCCCTGAGGCTAGATCGAAATGGCACCCACTAGAAAAGAAAGAGAAAGAGAAGAGTGTAGGGTCACATGCCAAATCTGTCCCAATGACACAAGAAGGGATCCAGTTAGTTTAGCAGCCAATCCCTTTAACTGCACAACTCCTTTGAAGGAAAAGAAAGATCATAATATGAGTAGGGGAGATCAAATCAAAGAACTGGCAACAAAAGTTTATCTGGAATGGAATAAAAATGGAGACGGGAAGTATTTTGTATAATCAGATTTCATTCAAATTTTAGAACATTGTTTTCTCCAGTTCTATGGGAGAATGAGACTTCATGATTGATATTTTGGTGCAGCACAAGGGACATAAACCCACAGGTGGTTTCTCTAATGTAGTGATTAGCATCTTGGTCTAACATCTGACAGGTCCCTAAAAGCAGAGATGATACATTTTCCTTATTTTTTTCAATTGCTCTTGTTTTAAATGTAGTCTAGTATTTATTTTTCCCCAGCTCATTAAGATAAAAAATCATATTCACAGATGGGAAGTGTCACGACTATCCTAAATGGATGGACAATACATTAGTCCATCTTGCTCTGCTTATGCTTTCATAGTGGCCGGTTGCAAGCTGAGTGATCCTGATATGTGACTGTAGATAATGTTTCCGGGTTGTATTCCTACAGTGACATTCTCAGATGACCAACATCCCCCATCTTTGCAAGGAATAAACTGCTAACATTTGGACCTGAACTTGGAAACCTGGCCTTTAATAACAGGAAGCTGAAGTTAGTAATACATTTTTACAATTGGTATAAGATTCAATAATCCTTCAATCTAGTGTCACAATAACTGAAATTGCTTTATCCTTATAGTTTGCCTAGCATAGAAATAAATATGTCTTTAAATATAAAGGAGTCAAGTTAAATCACTTTTCAGAGTCAATAGTTATTTATTTATTTAGCATTTGTGTGTTCGCCGAGCCAAGCAATAACATTCTCAGTGGCCAAGTGGAGCTCTCGGAGCCCACTGCTGAATTTGGTTAGTGGGCATTCCTCAACAACGTGTATCGTTGTTTGATCTGTGCCGCAGCTGCAGCTTGGATTGTCTTGAAGACCCCAACAGTGCTGGTTGGCTGCACATAAGCCTTGTCCAGTCTGGAATTGATTAGAAGGACCCAGTGATGACATGGCAGGTTGAAGCTGAGCAGGCGAGCAGTAGGGTTTGTGATGAGGAACTGATTGGTGGTTGGTGTTAAGCACTGCTCTTCCCACCACAGGTACTCTGTCACTTCCTGGCATGGCAGCCTCGACCACAGTGGGTGTTGTGATGAAAGACATGTGGCAGGTGGGTTAAAAAGATTGTTGAACAAGGGCAAGCTTGGGTTGGCACATACCTTCCCAAGCACCTTGCCAGCTGCAATCTCCCTCCTGAGGTATGGGGGGGGGCGACGTGGCTCAGAACTGGAAGCCATGGAAGATGAGTTGGTTGGAGAGTTCCTGTGATGATGCGCATTGTTGAGTTGAGTTCCATAACAACAAGTTTGGTGTATTAAAGATGTGTGTTGTTTTTCATTTCTTAGGTTCTGATGCAATGTGTGGCCATTTGGTTTCACTCCTTTCTTTTAAAATGTTAGTGATTTCCACAGAAACGTTACTAACGTTCATTTAATCTTCCCCTCACCCCTCCAAAAACAGAGAAAGATTGAAATATTCAAATCTCAGTAGAGCCAATATTTTGTCAGATTTCCCTCCATGAAGTAGCATGGAGAAATCCATCCTGCTGTGTTAATGCCCCTTAGCAATATGTTGTAAAAATAACAAGATCTTACCAATTTCAGACCATTCTTTCCCATATGCTGATAACTGATCTGAGGGCTGATTTAGAAGCCATCATTTCTGGGCATGTTATAAAGGGACCTGGGTTTGGATGGGTTTTTACCACCCTGCCCCCTCTCATGGCCATCAAAAGGTGTATGACTTGGCTGGTTCCTGGGGGATGAGGGTGCTGGATAGGGCAAAGATGTCCCTGTCATGGAGACAACAGTCACCTCCCACCAACATCCCTGTGCCAGCGCCGAGGGCAGCCATCTGAGATATGAAGTCCATTGATCAGTGCACGGAAAATTGTATTTCTGTGTAAAATCCAGGAGGGACATGAAATGACCACCTGGTGGCACCATAACCTAAGGAATGAGGGTGAAGGACTCAGAACAGCACCCAGGCTGAGAACTGATTTCACTCCTGTCTCCTGGAATGAACCATTGATAATAATAAAGAGCAGGAGTACTTGTGGCACTTTAGAGACTAACAAATTTATTAGCGCATAAGCTTCCGTGGGCTACAACCCACTTCTTCGGATGTAGCCCATGAAAGCTTATGCTCTAATAAATTTGTTAGTCTCTAAGGTGCCACAAGTACTCCTGTTATTTGTGAGGATACAGACTAACACGGCTGCTACTCTGAAACCATTGATAATAATGACTCTCCCCAGGCACGCAGGGAGCAAAAGGAGCAGCCAGGGGCTATGAAGATGAATTACACAGGTGGCCCAGTAAAGGGTCTGTGAATGGCCTGGAGGGTGACAGAATTTGAAAAAAGAAATTAATTTATAAAACCTCAAGAGTGTTCTGGGATAATTTGAGAAGGGGAAAAGTGGCAAAATGCTGAGGAGAACTGATTCCCTCTGTCCAGTTTGAACCATAGCCCTTTAGCATTAAAAAGGTTTTTTTCAGATCAATGTTTTCCTGTCGTAATATGTGCTGTAGTCCCTGGGTAGCGCAGCTGGTAGCACATGAGACTTTTACTCTCAGGCTTGTTGGTTTGAGGGCTCCCCCATGTTCCCATTGGGATATTCCTTAATTTTTTTAAGCAGATACAAACTCCCACTAAGGGATGGAACTGGAAACTTTTTTATTCCACATAGCAGAGAGCTGTTTCCTACCTATTTTGCTGGGGATTATTTGTGGGAAAGATGGAGAAATCCGTGTTTTGCCTCAGAGAAAAAAGAAAGCACTGCCCTCTCTGAGAGTGATGTACCACCCTGGGCTCTGTCAGTAATGCTGAAAGTTGTGCCACTCCGTGCATGTGTTCCCGCCTCTCTCCAGAATTGTGGCATCAGAAGCAGGAATTTGCTTTACTTTTGTACATTAAATAAACTGCATCTGTATTTCTAAAAGGAAAATAATGTTTTCTGTGAAAAACACCATTTTTAATAAAAAAAGGAGTGACATGAAATAGCTACATGACGGCACCAGAACACCAGGAATGGGAAACAACAGGCTGCTAGTCTGTACATTGATTATGAAAAGGGATGGACTCACTCTCCTCTGTTCATAGAGAAATTCATTTATTTCTCCAATAGGCAAACTTAAATTTAAACACATTTCTAGGGCAGATGAAAGGGAATTTGGAAGTATTTCAGGGGGCATCGTGCCTGGCCCAGCACTGCTAGTAAAAGGGCTGATGCGATGAACGGGTACATAATGTTATGGCAGCCTGCTCATGCATCATCTACTGATGGAGGAATGATTTCAATCCCAGCTTGACACAGGGTGAACAGGTGTCTGCTTCGCTCTTGTTTTAAGGATCTGAGCACTTCAGGCAATGTGGGGATATAGCTCAGTGGCAGAACTCCTGTTTTGTCTGTAAGAAGCTGCTGGGTTTCAATCCCTGCCCTCTTCTGAAAATGCTTGTTTTGATTCTTGTCATTGGGGGCTGATTGTTTCTTTACATCCTGAGATCAGGGCACAAATGTCCCACACCTCTCTGCTGCACAGGAGCTGGCCTTCCATTCATGTGGGAATGTTCCCTTCTTCCTTCAAGACAGTGCTTTGTGCTCATGCCTAGTGATGACTCAGCATTTTATGAAATAGACCTAAATGTCCCTCTACATAAACATTGCTCTGTTGAGCTTTAGCCCAGAGCTAGGGCCACCTCCCCCGGGTCTCAAGTTAGTGAATCTCAGGGAGGGTCAGACACATTCAGATGCTGGGCTCTTCCACACACCCCACTCTGCTGACAGCCCTGCAACCTGAGCTGAAGCTGCCGGCTATTCCAGCTCTGCTACTTCAGTTGGGAGAACATAACCGGCCAAAAGGTCAGGGTTTTTTTCCTTACTGAAGCAAAAATAGGGTGACAGTAAATTTTTATGGCTGATCAAAGAAGGTTCAGTGATTTTTTTTAATTTTGTTTCTAAAAAATCACTGTTTCCTCTAAATAACACCATCAAGAGTCATAAACATCCCTGTTTCAGAAACTATGTCCCAGTCTCTACACTCCAGCCTGTCGCTGGTAATATCCCCCACACTGGGGAAACTGGCCAGAGTTTTGCCCTCTTTAGTACAGTTTTAGTCACACACATTGCCCCAAAGATCAATCTCACAGCATAAACCAGCAAAGACCTCGTCACAGCAGAGTCTGGGAGTAACCCGGCCCTGGACCTGTGTTTGCTAAAGTGTCTGACATGCAAAAATCAGTGATCTTGGGAGATGTGGCAAGAGGGAAAGTGGTGCTCACAAACCATTGTCAGATGTCATCTTTTTGCTGATAGGCTGGTAAGTAGCAGCGTGGCTAGTTCAGTTGGTAGAATAGGCACCTTAAGGGTGCTGGTTTTGAGCACCACGTGGGGGGAATTGTGTTTCAGTTTAATCTATGTAACAGCTTCTTCCTACTATTAATCAGAAACAAAGCACAAAGAACATAACAGAATTTAAAGTATTTTCCTTCTGGACAATTAGCTAAAAAGTGGCCATGGGGCAGTTTGAGTCAATTCGAGAAATAGAGTGGGGGGAAATCCTGCCTCTGTGGGACAGAAGCAGAGACACCATCCCAGGGAGAGGATTTACTTCTGCATTGTATCATTCTGAGACACTAGAATGATCCCAGCTAGATTATCAAACTAGGGGTTTACTGCTGCTGATGGGGATTGGGGACCAATCCTACGGAGGCGTGTCTAGACACACGAGACTTCCCCTTCCTGCCAGGAACATCCTGTTATCATTCCATTGTTCCGGCCTCTCTCTGCTCTTTCACTTTCACATTCCCCTCGCCAGTGCTGGCTGCAGGGGGGAGGAGCACATTCAGCTGCTGATTACAATCTGCCCAGACAGACAGTTTCTGCCACAGCAACAGAACTGGGTGCCCTCCATTGCAAAAGCTCCTTGTGGATTGGCTCTGATTCTCCGGAGGCCCTAGGGGACTTTTCACCCTGGAGCAGAGCCTGGCACATCCCTGTGGTTAGGTAGGTGGAGGAACTCGGAGACTGAGTGTGACACTGTGGGTGCAGGGCCCAGTCCGCAGATGCTAGTTCCTGCTCTGTCCTTGCTCCTCTCTCGGTGAGACCAACCCCTGGTCTGGAGAGCCAGAGAGCACGGGGGCTGTGAGTTGGGGCAGTGAGTTGGCACTCTGCCCCCTCTGTGCACCATGGCGTCTGAAGTAGCACCAAATGATTCTGAGGGGCTGCTGCCAGCACTCCAGGGGAAGACGGGGCAGTGTCTGAGCTGGGAGTCTTACCGCTAGTTAAACCACTGCAACTCCAGGCCTTATTTGACTTGTGTATATTACCACATTTCATCATGGCGAAACCGAGCTGGGAGCATACTTTCCTCTCAGACTGAGCCCAGGCGGTCATGATGAGTGGTTGTTCCCAAGCCCTGGGCGTGATGGTGCAATCTTATTTATGGTACATGATCACGTGCTATTTATTCCACAGGACCCCCTGCCTCATCCGGCACACAAAGAGGATGAAGTTCAGGCTGTTCGGACAACCCAGCATTTCCTAACCCTGAGTACTCAACTTTGGAACCTAAATAAAGTTCTTTTCATGTGTTTTTTGTAAGTATTATTATTTGTATTGAAGTAGCACTATGAGGAGCCCCAGTCATGGACCAGGACCATGCTGTGCTAGGGGCTGTGTAAACAGTAAACAAAAGAAGAATAAAGAGGAAGTGAAAATGGTCAAGACCACAAGGCCTTTTGCCTGACCTCTGTGGCTAAATTTAAGGTTCAGTGCCTGGTTTTCCTAAAGGGGCCAAATCGTCACCTCTGGCAGGAATACCCGTCAGGGAAGACAGATGGTTCAGGAGCGTCCTCCCGTTGCTCCCTATAAGACTTACTAATAAATTCAGCAGGTGACCTACCACCTTGTCAGGACCCCCGGCAAGCAACCCAACATCCCCCTGAGATCTCACATGCTCATCACTGTGATGAGACACAAAACAAAATTGATGGATTGGCTCTGGGGGAGGGACCTAAATGCACCCCACTCTGCAAGAGGTTCAGGGAGGGGCCTGTCATGCTGAGTGGGGCCAGGGAGCTTGGGTTATGTGGGGGAATGGGCCAGGGTGGTCACAGAGGGGCCTGTCTGTTCTGAGCAAGAGCAGGGACCTGGGGTTATGGGTCGGCTCTCATTCTTCCATCACACAGAAAAATCCATGTTGGATCCTTTGCTGCAGGCTGCCTGGAGAGCCGATGTTCCTACAGGCCCTACAAGTGAGCAACAGGGTTTATTCCTGAGTTGGAATTGCAGTCGTTCCAAGGACAGACAATGGCAGCTGAGCTGGGTGCAAGTGCAGCTTTGGGTTTCCAGCTCCAGGCACCACTACAGCAGGGAATGCAGCCCCCAGTGAAAATGGAAGAGCAGAACCCAGTCAGCCCCAAGCCAGGGGAGAGAGCGGAAGGGGCAGAAAAGGCCCTTTGTGTCATCCAGGCTGGTACCATTGGGGGGCTACTGAGATGGGCAGCACCACGATGGGTCAAGCAGGAGCCACAGAAAAAGCCAGCCACCCTCCGTGGGGATGACACCCACATAGAGTCGCGGCGTCGGCGCTTCAGGCAGTTCCACTACCAGGAGGCCAAGGGGCCCCAGGAGGCTTACAGCCGCCTCCAGGAGCTCTGCCATGGCTGGCTGGAGCCGCAGAGCCGCACCAAGGAGCAGATCCTGGAGCTGCTGATCCTGGAGCAGTTACTAACCATACTGCCAGAGGAAATGCAGAGCTGGGTCTGGGAACGTGGCCCTGAAACCTGTGCCCAGGCGGTGGCCCTGGCAGAGGGGTTCCAGCTGAGGCAGCCAGAGTTTGAGGGGCCAGGGCTACAGGTGAGAGCATTTAACCCTGATTATTCCACTGAGGGGATGGGGAGTGGGAGACAGACTATGCTACATCTGTGTATGGACCAGGACCATGGGGCTCACTTCTGTGGTCCCTGTTCCCCCTGTGTTGCCTGCCCAGCCCCATGGGAGCTGCTAAGCATGCAGTAGCAGAGCCAGGACTATTGGCCACTCATCCCCATTAGCCCCTGCAGCACTTCTTGTCAACCCCTGGGTTTGTGGGTGGATCTGTGCTCCCCTCCCCTGTCGCTGTGTCCTTGGGGGACATTCCCTGGTGTCTCCCCTCTCAGACCCCACTCTCCACAGCGGGCCCCAGGCCCTGGCTCTCTCATTACATGTTTGATTCATACCCAGGTCATGGTGTGTGTAAAGGTTGAGGAAGTGGCCTCAGAAGAAAAGGCGTCCCCTGGGGCACTGTGGGAATCTGCTGGCTCCAGACTAGAGCAGCCACAGTCCCATCCCGGGTGTGCATCCCAGGACGGGGAATGGAATGAAGCTTCAGGATCCCTGTACAAGCTGCCTCATATCCCCAAAGAGGAGCACCAGCCCCTCCAGGAAATAGGTAATAAGTTGGGTACAGGGCATGGTAGGCTATGGGTCACTGATGGGGAGGCAGAAAGGGGAAGGCCCAGGGCAGAGCATGTTTGAGGAATGGGGTTGCTGGCTCGCTCAGGGGAGAGCAATGGCTCCTTGCAGCCCTTCCCATTCCCCTCAACAAGCTCCCTGGATGCCGCTCTCCCATCCCCCTCTATTTTAGAGACTGTCTGCAGCCCCATGTCTGGGGCCATCTGAACCCCACAATCCCATGCTGAGGGCTCTGTGTGCCCCCCTAGATTCTTCTTCCCCTCATGCCATGGGATCTGTGCCTCCTGCATCTTCCTTCCTTTTCTCTCTGAGACCCCCATTCCCTTTATTTATTTATTTCTTTTTGGTCTGGGAAAGAAGTCATTCAGGGTGTCAGCATTTTGAACTGTACTGGGAGGATGGGCAGAGCTGAGGGGGCTGCTCTGCAGAATACTGGTGCGGGAGGGGGAGGGGTTTATGCTGAGCAGAGTGTTAGTGACTGTAGGTTCTTTCAACTATTAACAGTTACAGGGGTGGCTTGAAGCTCTGCCAACCAGATGCCAGGGGCTCTGTGTGTCTCCCATTTCTTCCTGAGGGCTAATATGATCCGTGGATGTATAAATGGGAGTAACAAGTAGAAGCAGGGAATGGTGAGACTGATGCTGGTATACAGCGGCCAGATCTGATGTTCACATTGGAAAAAGAATGTTGACAAATTGGAGAGAGTGTAGAGAAGAGCCACAAAAGTTTTTCAAAAAGCCACAAGTACTCCTCGTTCTTTTTGCTGATACAGACTAACACGGCTACCACTCGGAAAAGTTATTCAAAATGCCTGACCCGTGAGAGCTCAGTTTTAACTTATAGAGGGAGTCCTTGGACTTACAATGCCCAACTTTTGTCGGACGCCACTTATGCCGCTTTTCAATTGACTGCCCCGTTTCGCCCCTACAACACTTTTTTCGCCCTTACGTTGCATAAAGTTCTCTTGAAATCACTTCCTGGTTGCTGTTATACAGTACTGGTGCGGAGCTGGAAGGGGTCACTTCTGATTGGCTTTGAGGCAGCAGGGTAGCTTGTGGCTTGGCAGGGTTGCCGCTTGTTTTTGATTGGCTCCTGGCCCCGGGCTCAGTCAATCACTGGTGATTGGCTGAGGCTCAGCATGTGTGCCGATCTCCCTGGCTTTCTGAGCCTGTGTTGCGGGTATTCTGGGTCAAAGCATATGTGAATTTATATGTTTATTTTAATGCTGTTTACAAAATTCAGCGTACAGTAAATACATTGATGTTGCAACATTAGTCATCTGTAATTCATTTAGTACAAACATCTGGGTTATTGTGGTGAAAATAGTGTATCAAGCCTTGGTTCAGAAACCAATCTCCCCTTTATACCATTGATTCCTATGGGAAAAACGGTTTCGACTTGCAATGCAGTTTTGAGGAACGAATTGTGTCAAAGGTCCGAGGACTCCCTGTATAAAAGAAGATTGAGGGGTGACTTGATTAAAGTGTGCAAGTACCTTCTTGGGAAGAAAATACTGGGTTCTAAAGAGCTCTTTAATGTAGCAGAGAATGGCAGAACAAGAGCCAATGGCTGGAAGGTGAACCCTGGCAAATTCTAATTAGAAATAAGGCACAAATTCTTAACAGTGAGGATGATTAACCATTGGAACAAACTCCCAATGGAAGAGATAGAGTCTCCCTCTCGCGATGTCTGCAAATCCAGAGGGACCCCTTTCTGGAAGATGCTTTAGTCAAACACAAGTTATTGTGTTGAGAATGGGGTAACTGGGTGTAATGTAATAGCCAGGAGGTCAGACTAGATGTATCCTGTGAGAGGGGTGGGTCACAATGAGGCCTGGTGCCACCAGACGTGTCTGGCCCCTCGCAGGGCTAGTGGGGAGTTAATTAACTCATGTGCACGTTGGGGAGGATGGGGGAAACTCAGAGAGGGCAGCTGCTTTCCCAGAAGGTGTTCTCTCTGGTAGGGCATCTGGTTTGTTGAGGGAGAGGCAGGATGAGAGGGGTAGGGGTAGGGAGGGAGGGTGAGCTTGTGGCAGTTTTTCTGGGGGGCAAGTGTCTCTGGAAGGTTTGGGGGGGGGTCAGATATTTCCTGGGCCATTTCCTGCATCCCTGGCTCAGTGTCACCCCCCCAGCAGGCATCATCCCATCAGGGTGCATGTTACTCATGCTCCGTCCCATTCCCAATGACCCTTTTTCTCACCTGAGGAGACTGAGTCAGAACCAGCCCCCCCTGGGGGAGGGTTTGGGGGACCTAAACCTTGATCCCCAGCCCTGTTGATGGGGTGAGCAGGTGAGGAGCCCTTTGTGGTTCCCCTGCCCCAAACTCCTTCTCCTGCTCAGGGAATTAATCCCACCTTCTTCTCTCATTTCAGCCGATGGCAAGGCCAGTGGTGACGACAAAAGTGAAACGTGTCACTCAGGAGAGCAACCAAAACACAAGACAAAGAATGGGCAGCATCGCCCTGGGGAACACAACCCGGCAGAACAAGCTCATAAGCGCACCAAGAGTGGGAAGGGCATCAGTGTCGGCTCTGCCCTTATTACACCACAAAGAGTCCACGCGAGCAAGAAACGCTGGACCTGTGATGAGTGTGGGAAAAGACTTGGCGACAGCTCGGCTCTCACAAAACACCGGAGGATGCACACCGGCCAGAAACCTTTTGTCTGCACTGCCTGTGGTAGGAGCTTCAGCCAGAGCTCGGTCCTCATGACGCACCAGAGAACTCACACCGGGGAGAGACCTTACATCTGCACCGAGTGTGGGCGACGCTTCAGCGACAGCTCCAACCTCACTCGGCACCAGAGAACCCATGTGGGCCAGAGACCCTATATCTGCACCGTCTGCGGGAGACGCTTCAGCCAGAGCTCACATCTCACGAGACATCAGAGGACCCACACGTCTCATAACCATGGGCACAGCTGCACAGCAGGTCCTGAGCAGCCACTGCCCCAGAGCAGCCCCATGGCAGGGGGTCTTGTGGCCTAGCATGTGTCAGGTATCTGGGCCTCTGCCCTGGTCTCACAGATATAGAATGGGAAAGGATTGGGGAGAAGTTTAGGGAGCACTTTCCTGGGGTGACTGAATGCTGCGAGGAGGGATTGTGATGGGTGATCACAGTGAAAAGCAGATATGGTCTTGCATACTAAGAGGTTGGGGCGAGGGTAAGCTGGGAATCAGGACTCCTGGGTTCTGTTCCCAGCTCCCGGAGAAGTGTGACATCTAGAGTTGGAGCAGGACTGTCAGTTGGGAGATCCTGAGGTCTGTTTTTGAGGCTACAGATATGTTTTCTCCCCATATCCACACCCTCTATTTGTAAAAGGCTTTTGGCTCCCTCCGTGAAAACACTGTTAAGTAGTGAAAAGTAAACAGGGGCTCAAGGACAGGGATGCATTTGCAGCCAATAGGTGGCTTGATACAGAGGTGATGACTCAAGATGGGAGGAGAAGTGCCTGAGATCAACAGAGAATTGAAGTCCATTTCTAATTGAGCACCCCATGGGTTTGGGGATCCAGCAGGGCAGAAGGGTTCAACGCCCCACAGCTCTCTCCATCTCACCCGCAGGTGCTGAGCAGCTAGATCTAAAGGAACATCCCTGGGCTGTAAATATAGACTTCCAGGCCCTGAACTCCCCTATGTCTTGCACTTGGCCCTGCAGGCTCCTTTCTGCTTGTTTGGGCTTTAGGGGTAGCAGTATCATGTGTTTTCCTTTTGCCTGGCTGCTGGGAACCTGCCTTGGAACCCTGAATTCCCTGTAAACAAGGCCCCAAATCAGGGGTTCATTCTATTCCAGACACTCCCTTGCAGGTGTTTGTGCTTCGGCTGCTGGGAGGGAGCAGCCAGAGCAGTGAAAATGCAAATGCTGCTTTAACTGGTAGGAGCTCCCTTGTCTCTTCTAAAGCTTCTTCCCCAGCTCCCAGCCTGGAGCTCCCCACAGCTTTACATTGCATCTGCCCCATTTCTATCCTCACTTGGGACTCTGCTACCCTGCAGCTCCCAAGCCATATCTACACTGCAGTGGCACAGTAACATAGTAGACACTTCCTACATTGACAGAATGGGTTTTTCCATCAATATTTATCCACCTCTCTGAGTGGCAGTAGCTAGTACGATGGAAGAATTGATCTAACACTGGAGGTTAGATTAATCTAACTACATCACACAAGGCACAGTTTTTTTCATGGCCTTTAGTGATGTATCTAGGTCAATCAAATTTTTTAGGTGTAGATCAGATCTTAGTCACGAGGACCCATTACATCTTGGCTTTGTCCTGGTAACTGCTAAACGCTGCACTGTAGCCTAGTCCTAACCATATCCATGTAACAGGGTTACAATCTCGGCCCAGCCAAGGTCACAAGGACATGGCTCTTCTTTGCACTGGAACATTGACCCATGCTGTAACCAGGTTCTTATGAAAGTGTTGATGGGTCTGGGATATGTGCATAGTGAGAGGGAACTGCTGAGATTGCTAGTTGTGCTGCCTTGGGGAAATGAGACTCTGAAGCTCTGAGAGCAAAGGGCCAATGTGTCATACTCTCCACACAGGGCCAGAGCAAAGATCCTGATGTGCTGCAGCCCACGGTCCCCATAGGGAAGCTGCACTGGCCAACAACAAATCATGTGGGGGAAAGAAACGAAAAGCCAAGGCAGAGCCAGGGACACAGCAACTGGCTGTGGGATGGAGGCAGCTGGAGCCAATGAGCCTGGGGCCAACAAGGCTCATAAGAATGGCCAAACTGGGTCAGACCAGAGGTTCATCTCCCCCAGTATCTTGTCTTCCAACAGTGGCTAATGCCAGGTGCTTCAGAGGGAGTGAACAGAACAGGTAATCATCAAGTGATCATTTCCTGTAGCCCTTTCCCAGCTTCTGGCAAACAGGCTACAGCCACCATCCCTGCCCATCCTGGCCAACAGTCATTGATGGACCTGTCCTTCATGAATTTATAAAGTTATTTTTTGACCCCTGTTATAGTCTCGACTTTCACAACACCCTCTGGCAAAGAGTTTCACAAGTCGACTGTGCGCTGGGTGAAGAAATACTGACTTTTTGTTTGTTTGAAACCTGCTGCGTATGAATTTAATTTGGTGATCCCTAGTTCTTGTGTTATAAGAAGGAGTAAATAACACATTCTTATTTACTTTCTCCTCACCAGTCATGATTTTACAGACTTCTATAATATCTCCTTCCCCCCCCCCCTTAGTCATCTCTTTTCTAGGGTGAATAGTCCCGGTCTTATTAACTTCTCCTCCTATGAAAGCTGTTTCATACCCCTAAATGTTATGTTGACCTTTTCTGTACTTCTTCCAATTCCAATATATCTTTTGGAGATGGGACTACCAGAGAGAGAGAGCCATCATGAAGAATCCCCTAGCTACCACCTGAGCTGGAACAAGAGCTGTACCAGGGGAAACAATTGTGCCCAGGCCTGGAAGGTGTCCAGTCTGAGGAAAAAACTTACTGAAGCATCTCTGAGGGTGAAATTATCTGTATTCAGTTTGATTAGACATAGATTTGCGCATTTTATTTTGTTTTGTTTTGTAACTTACTTTGTTCTGTCAGTTACTACTTGGAACCACTTAAATCCTACTTTCTGTATTTATTAAAATCACTTTTTACTTATTAATTAACTCTGAGTATGTATTAATACCTGGGGGAGCAAACAACTGTGCATATCTCTCATTCAGTGTTCTAGAGGGCGAACAATTTATGAGTTTACCCTGCATAAGCTTTATACAGGGTAAAACAGATTTATTTGAGTTTAGACCCCATTGGGAGTTGGGCATCTGAGTGCTAAAGACAGGAACACTTCTGTTAGCTGTTTTCAGGTAAACCTGCAGCTTTGGGGCACGTAATTCAGACCCTGGGTCTGTGTTGGAGCAGACGGGAGTGTCTGACTCAGCAAGACAGGGTGCTGGAGTCCTGAGCTGGCAGGTAAAGCAGAGGGATAGAAGTAGTCTTGGCACATCGGGTGGCAGCTCCCAAGGGGGTTTCTGTGATCCAACCCATCACAACCTCCTCTAATGAGACCTTGCTCTGAGACAGTTCCTCAGATTTGTCACCCAAAAAGAATGGCTCAGGTTTGGGAATCTCCCTCCCATCCTCAGCCGTGAAGACAGATGCAAAGAATTCATTTAGTTTCTCCTCAATGGCCTTATCGTCCCTGAGTGCTCCTTTAGCATCTCGATCGTCCAGTGGCCCCACCGGATGTTTAGCTGGCTTCCTGCTTCCAATGTACTTTAAAAAATTTTGCTATTACTTTTTGAGTCTGGCTAGCTGTTCTTTAAATTCTTTTTTGGCCTTCCTAATTATATTTTTACACTTCATTTGCCAGACTTTATGCTCCTTTCTATTTTCCTCAATAGGATTTAACTTCCACTTTTTAAAGGATGCCTTTTTGCCTCTCCCTGTCCAAGAGAAGGAACATCCTGCAGCCCAGCCAGTGAGTTGAGCAGCAATGGACTCTGAGGCCACGGCTGGACCAGTTTTAATCCCTGTTCAATGAAGCTCCTTGGTTTTTAATTGTGGGGCTGTTAATCATGGGGCCATTGATCAAGTTGAGTTATTTGCTAATAATGTCCCTGGGTGTCTGATAGCTCGTGGGGGAGCAGGGATGGGTGTCGCCATCTGTGACAGAATTGGGGGATAAAAGGGCCTTTCAGCAGTAGCGGGGGGGGGAGGAACTGCCCCCTGTTGCCCTTATGAAGGGGGGGTTTCTCCCCCCAGAGCTGCTTCCAGAATCACCCCCACCTGCTCCAATAGAGACAGGACAGACAGACAGACCTGAATAACCCCCACTCTCCCCCGCCCCACCAGAGACTGAGGGGAGTAAAGTACTGCCTGGCCAGGGCTGTTCAACCACCTGCCCCTGGGCCAACTGCCATAACTGCCACTGTGGAAGGACCCATTCTCACTGGTGGAACAGGGGGCGGCATGTTTGACACAATTCCCAAATCTGGTGCTTTAGTAAAAATTCCTCCTTCATTAAGAGAGCAGAAAAAAATAAAAGGTTTTCAGTGACCAGGCAACAAAAATGAAACTTCAAATCTGAGCCTTTGTTGCCCTCTCCCTCTCCAATACTGAAGTGGTTTGTCCCATCAGCTGGGTGTTTTGGGGGCCTTTTTCTTTTTCCCCCACCACTGGGAGAAACCATTTCCCTGTGTGGGGGTTGTTAAAATATCTGGGGAGCTTGTTTAATTTGGGATTTTTTCCTGTCAGGAATTTTAAAATACACCCCCTCCCCTCACAGTGTTAGCTCCTTTTCAATCTGGGGGATAAAAATCTTGAGTTTGAGGATAATTTCCCTTCCCCCCCCCCACTTGAGAATGGTTTTTCCAAGCCCAGAACTGCAGTTGGTTGTTTCTCTTCCCCTCAGGCAGGCAGGAGGAGGGGCAGTAGACACAGCTCTGTGCCTTCCCTCTGCAGTGGCTCCCTCTGGGTCAGGGCTGGGCAGCTCTGGGGCATAAATTCCTCCCCACACACACTAGGGAAAGGAGAGACTGTTTGGGGCTGGGGTCTGAGTAGCGCAGCAAGGGGCAGATCCCAGGGACTGGAGCTAGGGTGACCAGATGTCCCGATTTTATAGGGACAGTCCTGATATTTGGGTCTTTTTCTTATATAGGTTCCTATTACCCCCCCCCCACCCCCGTCCCGATTTTTTCACATTTGCTATCTGGTCACCCTAGCTGGAGCGCTCGTGCTGCCACACCGAGGAGGGGGCTACACTGGAGATTGGCACTAAAGGGCTGGGCTCAAACATGCCCCAGTTTAGCCCTTTTCTTTTGGCCTGTGGCTGGGGCAGTCTCGTCTTTATAGGGGCAGGTCTGGTTATCTCCCCTTGGCTGTTAGCGACTCACTCCCTGCTGGTGTCTAAACTCTCCCTTGGCCATGGGCTCTTTTGTGGGCTCCCCCAGCTGTGATGGGCTCATCACGCGGCCCCGAGGAGTGAGGGGAGAGTTCAGTCTCCGCGGCCCATTCAGCCCCCTGGATTCTCTACTGAACCCAGCAATGGGATATTAGTGCTGATGGGTTTGGGAGGGGACAGGGATACCTGCCCACTAGCAAATGGATGGACCCCCACCAAGTCATTCATAGCCTCACACACAATCAAATTACATTGGGTGCTGCTGGCCAGGCCGGGGTTGAAGTTGAACTGATGCCCCAGTGGTGAAAGGCTCTGTATCCCATCCAGCTGAGGCATCCAGCCCATCTCCATCATCTTACTCCTTGCCACACATTTACTCACTGATATATTTACTCCTCAGTAATTTAATCTGGGAGTTTCATATTTTATCCTAGTTTCTGCATAGGATTCTTCTGGGCTGGAGCCTGCTGAACCAGTTTTTGCATCTCAGAAATTTTTTTATTCAGAAGTCACTCACCCAGGCCAGAAACAGCCCCAACAGGCAGGACAGCATCTGCCTCAAGCACAGCAAGTGCCCTCCCCCATGAGAGCAGTGCTGGGTGCTCTATGAACAAGGACCCTGTGGGGGATGCTGCAGGAGCATTTAGAGGGGAACCAAAGCAAGGGGTTGGAAATATCCCAAATACAGGGAATTCACTGGGGCAGTAAAAGCTCCATGGCAGGGAGGGAAGGGGCCACTAAGGAACAAATCCCATCTCTGAGCTGCTCATAGGCGCAAACTTTTAGGGGAAAGTGTCAGGCCCCCACAGAGAAATGCAATCTATGCCAATTATCTGTGGATCTGGGAAGTTTCAATTTTGCTCGGCATGAATAGGCCATAAATTCTCCATCAGACACACATATTCCATTAGGAAGACACGATCCTGTGATGGAATGCTCTGGGAGGACAGTATACATCTGACTCAGGATTTTTATCCTCCAGATTGAAAAGGAGCTAATGTTGTGAGGGGAGGGATTTTATTTTAAAATTCCTAACAGGAAAAAATCCCAAATTAAACAAGCTCCCCAGATATTTTAACAACCCCCACACAGGGAAATGGTTTCTCCCAGTGGCAGAAAAAAAAGCATCAAAACGCCCAGCTGATGGGACAAACCACTTCAGTATTGGAGAGGGAGAGGGCAACAGGCTCAGATTTGAAGTTTCATTTTTGTTGCCTGGTCACTGAAAACCTTTTATTTTTTTTCTGCTCTCTTAATGAAAGGGGGATTTTTACTAAAGCACCAGATTTGGGAATTGTGTCAAACATGCCGCCCCCTGTTCCACCAGTGAGAATGGGTCCTTCCACAGTGGCAGTTATGGCAGTTGGCCCAGGGGCAGGTGGCTGAACAGCCCTGGCCAGGCAGTACTTTACTCCCCTCAGTCTCTGGTGGGGTAGGGGAGGGTGGGGGTTATTTAGGTCTGTTCGTCCTGTTTCTATTGGGGCAGGTGGGAGTGATTCTGGAAGCAGCTCTGGGGGAAGAAACCCCCCCTTCATAAGGGCAACAGGGGACAGTCCCGTTCCCCCCAGCTACTGCTGAAAAGCCCCTTTATCCCCCAATTCTGTCACAGAAAGTCACAGATGGCGACACCCATCCCTGCTTCCCCCATGAGCCATCAGACATCCTGGGACATTATTAGCAAATAACTCAACTTGATCAACGGCCCCATGATTAAAGGCCCCACAATTAAAAACTAAGGAGCTTCATTGGACAGGGGTTTAAACTGGTCCTGCCATGGCCTCAGGGACCATCACTGCTCGGCTCACTGGTTGGGCTGCAGGATGTTCCTTCTTTTGGACAGGGAGAGGCAAAAAGGCATCCTTTAAAAAGTGGAAGTTAAATCCTATTGAGGAAAATAGAAAGGAGCATAAAATCTGGCAAATGAAGTTTAAAAATATAATTAGGAAGGCCAAAACAGAATTTGAAGAACAGCCCTAAGACTC